GGCAGGGAACTCATAACCATGATGTGCAAGGAAATTACCAACCCCAAGGAGGAGCGCAGAGAGATTATGTACCACCACCAGGCCAGGGTAATTCTGGTAATGGTTTTAATCCTGCACAGGGTGGAGCTCATGGGCAAGGCGGATATCATGGCTATGGAACAGGAACGCCTTATGGTCAAGGACAGAGTCATGGATCTTATCCAGGCTCGACCGAAGGTCAAAGATTTTCGCAAGACATGGAAGGAGAACAACGAAACTACACTCCTGGTGGACAAACATGGAACAGCAACCAAGTAAGGCATTTATAATACAGTAAGCACTAAATAGTTTGGTCCTTTCATTTTTCTTACAATGCTAGAATTGGTTGTTAGTAGATAGTTGTGTCTCTCTGAAAAACCTCTGTAAACTGAACCGAACCGAACTTCGATGAACGCTGTTTATTCTCTCAGAGTTACATGATATGTGTGCTTTAGAGTTCCATTTTAACAACGAAATCTATTGATTTTTTGCAGGGGAGATTTTGAATATTTGATGTGAAGAGACTTAAGAGGAAGGAACCATGAGGCATTCCATTTGTCTCTCGTGTTTCTTGTAGGAAAACAATTAGGGGAAAGCTTTTAGAATTTGTTCTTGTGATGATTTTGCACGTCTTGTGTTGGGTTGTTTTCTTTGCTGTTAAGCCTGTAAGGAGCTTGAACTGACTGACGCCAGTGGCCTGCTTCTTCTCTCTCATGCATGTCGTCTTGGAGAACCATTTTCTTTTTATTGCCATGGCTTTCTTTTTATTGATTACACTTAATTCTTATAATGCCGAAGCTGTTTATTTTTTTTATTAAGCACTTTAAACTAATCCAACATGTCACCGAAAACCGAGTTCTATGTGGTGTGTATCTTTTTCTTTTTTTAAATTTATTATTATAGAAGATTGTATTTGTGCTTCTAATGGGTTAAAAACATTTTTTCAAACGGTAATAAATGAAAAGAAAAAATTTAGGGTTGGATTGGGTAAGTTTATTATTAATTAAGTATAGTTTAAGTGAAAATTTACCACCAAAACAATTATCTTGTTTAATTCCAACTCACTCTCACTGTGGTTGGTTTTTTTCCTTTCACTTATTTCTATTTATTGTTAGCAGATTAATTGCGTAATAAATGACTATATAATGCAGTGGATTAGCGCGTCTGACTTTGGATTAGAAGGTCGTGGTTTGACTCCCACACTGTGGTTGGTCTTCTTCCTTTTTATTTATCGTTTGTCGATTAATTACGCAAGTTCGCCACTAACTGTAGCAGTACCATCTGCGAGTCACGAGTTGATGAACAAATGACCATATAGCGTAGTGGATTAGTACATCTAATTTTGGATTAAAAGGTCGTGGGTTCGATTCCAATTGTGATTGTCATTTCTCGTTTGTATTAATTATTCAAGTTTGCCACTAACTGTAGCAGCATCATCTGCGTGGCAATAGTTTGACTTTGGATTTATAGCTTCATCTGCGTGGAAAATAGACTAATGACTTCTTAGTGTGGTTGGTTTTCTTCTTTTTTTATTCACTTATTTTTATTTGTGGTTGGTTTATCGTTTGTTGATTAATTATATAATGTCTTTTTTTATTCACTTATTTTTATTTATAGTTTGTTGATTAATTATGCAGCATAGTGGATTAGCATGTCTAACTTTGGATTAGAAGGCTCATGGGTTTGACTTTTACTGTGGTTGGTCTTTCTTTATTTTTATTCACTTATTTTTATTTATCGTTTGTCAATTAATTACACAAGTTCGCCACTAACTGTGGGTTCGGCTCCAAACTGTGGTCATTTGTCTCTTTTCCCACTGTGATCAGTCTTCTTCCTTTTTATTCACTTATTTTCATTTATCTTGTCGATTAATTACGCAAGTTTGCCACTAACGGTAGCAGCACCATCTGAGAGTCGCAAGACAACAAATAAATGACTTCACGAGACATCAAACAAATGACTGCATATCGTAGTGAATTTGTGTGTCTAACTTAGGATTAAAAGGTCATGGGTTTAACTCCCACTGTGGTCGGTTTTCTTCCTTTTTATTCACTTATTTACTTTGAATCAGAAGGTCGTGGTTTTGACTCCACTATGCTCGGTCTTTTTTCTTTTCAATCACTTAATTTTATTTATCATTGTCAATTAATTACGCAAGTTCGCCACTAACTATAGCAGCACTATCTACGAGTCACGAGATGACGAACAACTGACCGCATAGCGCAGTGGATTAACGCGTCTAACTTCGGAACAGATGGTCGTGAGTTTTGACTCCCACTGTGGTCGTCAGTCTTCTTTCTTTTCATTCACTTATTTTTATTTATCGTTTGTCGATTAATTACGCAAGTTCGCCACTAACGGTAGCAGCACTGTCTGCAAGTCACGAGATGATGAACAAATGACCGCATAGCGCAGTGGATTAGCGCGTCTGACTTCGGATCAAAAGGTTGTGGGTTTGACTCCTATTGTGGTCGTCAATCTTCTTTCTTTTCTATCTTATTTTTATTTATCGTTTTCGATTAATTACGCAAGTTTGCCATTAAATGTAGCAGCACCATCTGCGAGTCACGAGACGACGAACAAATGACTGCATAGCGTAGTGGATTAACACGTCTGAATTCGGATCGGAAGGTCGTGGGTTTTACTTCCATTGGGTTCGATGGATGTTCCTATAAATTATGTAAGTTCAACACTAGCTGTATAAGCACCATTTGCAAGTCACGAGATAAAGAACAAATGACCGCATAACGTAGTTGATTTGATTAGTGCGCTTGACTTTTTATTAGAAGGACGTGGTTTTGACTCCCACTATGGTCGGTCTTCTTCCATTTTTATTCACTTATTTTTATTTATCGTTTGTCGATTAATTACGCAAGTTCGCCACTAACTGTAGCAGCACTATCTACGAGTCACGAGACAATGAACAAATGACCGCATAACATAGTGGATTAGCGCGTCTGACTTAATATCGGAAGGTTGTGGGTTCGACTTCCATTGTGTGGTCGATGATGTTCCTATTAATTTTGCAAGTTCAGCACTAACTGTAGCAGCACTCTCTATGAGTCATGAGATGACAAACAAATGACTGCATAGTGCAGTGGATTAACGCATTTAACTTCACATCAGATCGTTGTGGGTTCAATTCCCACTGTGGTCGTCACGTTTATTGATTAAATACGCAAGTTCACCACTAGCTGTAGCAGCACTCTCTGTGAGTCAAGAGATGACAAACCAATGACCACATAACCATAGTAAGGTCGTTGGTTCAACTCGGTAGATAGGAGTTCTCTAGCTGACAATGGTATCAGAAGGTCTTTTCAATCACTTAATTTTATTTATCGTTAACTGCACCATCTGTGAGTCACGAGACGACGAAATAATGACTGCATAGTCTGACTTCGAATTAGAAGGTAATGATTTTGACTCCCACTATATGGTCGATCTTCTTCCTTTTTTATTCACTTATTTTTATTTATCATTTGTCGATTAATTACGCAACTTCACAACTAACTGTAGCACTACTATCCGTGAGTCGCAAGATAATAACAAATGACTGCATAGTGTAGTGGATTAGTACGTCAAACTTTGGATTAGAAGGAAGTGGGTTCAACTCCCATTGTGGTATTGGGTCTTCTTTCTTTTCAATCGCCTAATTTTATTTATCTAATTACGCAAGTTCGCCACTAACTGTAGAAGCACCGTCGAGTCACGAGATGACGAACAAATGACCGATAGCGCAGTGGATTAACAATCACTTATTTTTTTTACTGTTTGTCTATTAATTACGCAAGTTCGCCACTAACTATAGCAGCACCATCTGCAAGTCACAAGACAACGAACAAATGACCGCATAGCGCAGTGGATTAGCGCGTCTGACTTTAAGAAGGTCGTGGGTTTGACTCTCATTGTGGTCATCAGTCTTCTTTCTTGTCAATCACTTATTTTTATTTATTGTTTGTTTATTAATTATGCAAGTTCGCCACTAACTATAGCAGCACTATCTGCAAGTCACGGGATGATGAACAAATGACCGCATAGCGTAGTGGATTAGCGTGTCTAATTTTTGATCAGAAGGTCGTGGGTTTGACTCCCACTGTGGTTATGTTAGTCTTTTTTCTTGTCAATTACTTATTTTTATTTATCGTTTGCCGATTAATTATACAAGTTCGCCACTAACTGTAGCAGCACTGTCTGTGAGTCACAAGATAATGAACAAATAATTGCATAGCGCAGTGGATTAGTGTGTTTGACTTTTGATCAAAAGGTTGTTGGTTCGACTTCCATTGTGGTCGTCGGTCTTCTTTCTTTTTAATCATTTATTTTTATTTATCGTTTGTCAATTAATTACACAAGTTCGCCACTAAGTGTAGCAGCACTATTTGCGACTCACGAGATCATGAATAAATGATTGCATTACGTAGTGGATTAGCATGTCTGACTTCATATCAGAAGATTATGAGTTCAAGCCCCACGCTGTTGGTTTTTTTTCTTTTCAATCACTTATTTTTATTTATCGTTTGTCAATTAATTATGCAAGTTTGCCACTAACGGTAGCAGTATTGTCTGCAAGTCACAAGATGACAAACAAATGATTGCATAGCATAGTGGATTAGTGCGTTTGACTTTAGATTGAAAGGTTGTGGTGTGGGTTTGACTCCTACTTTGGTTTGGTTGGTCTTCTTTCTTGTCAATCTCTTTTTTTTTTTTTTTTAAATTGTGTTTGTCAATTAATTATGCAAGTTCGCCAATAACTATAACAGTACCATTTGTGAGTCACAAAACAACAAACAAATGATCGCATAACGTAGTGGATTAGCCCGTTTGAATTTGGATTAAAAGGTCATGGGTTCGACTCCTATTGTGGTTGATTAGTTTTTTTTCTTGTCAATCACTTATTTTTATTTATCGTTTGCCGATTAATTATGCAAGTTCGCCACTAACTGTTGCAACACTATCTGCGAGTCACGAGATGATGAATAAATGACTGTATAGTGCAGTTGGATTAGCATGCCTGACTTTGGATCAGAAGGTTGTGGGTTCTACTCCCATTGTGGTCAAACTTTCTTCTTTCTTTTAAATTACATATTTTTATATATCGTTTTTCAATTAATTACGCAAGTTCATCAATAGATGTAGCAGTACTGCGATCAAATGATCGGATTATAGATTAGTGTGTACGATCGGATTATAGATTAGTGTGTATGTCTTCAGATTAGAAGGTCGGTGTGTATGTCTTCAGAGTAGAAGGTCGTGGGTTTGAACCCCAACCCCACTGTGGTTTTTGTTTTTTTTTCTTTTCAATCACTTATTTTTATTTATCGTATATCGATTAATTACACAAGTTCGCTACTAACTGTAGCAGCAATATCTACAAGTCACAAGATAATAAATAAATGACCGCATAGTGTAGTGGATTAGCATGTCTGACTTTGGATCAGAAGGTCGTGAGTTTGACTCCCACTATCGTCGTCGTTGATCTTCTTTCTTTTTAATCACTTATTTTTATTTATCGTTTGTCCATTATTTACGAGATGAAAAACAAATGATCGCATAGTGCATTGGATTAGTGAGTCTAACTTTGGATCAGATGGTCGTGGGTTTGACTCCTATTGTGGTTGTCAGTCTTCTTTCTTTTCAATGTTTTGTTTGTCGATTAATTATGTAAGTTCGCCACAAACTGTAGCAGGACTCTGACGAGATATTGAACAAATGATTTAACACAGTGGATTAGCACATTTGACTTCGGATCAAAAGGTTGTGAGTTTGATTCACACTGTGGTCTTCGTTCTTTTTTCTTTTCAATTAGTTATTTTTATTTATCGTTTGTCGATTAATTACGCAATTTCGCCACTAACTGTAGCAGCATCATCTGCGAGTCACGAGACGATGAAAAAATGACAGCATAGCATAGTAGATTAGCACGTCTGACTTCGGATCAGAAGGTCGTTGGTTTGACTTCCATTGTGGTCGATGATGTCCCTATTAATTTTGCAAGTTCTGCACTAGCGGTAGAAGCACCATCTGCAAGTCTCGAGGTGAAGAATAATTGACCGCATAGCACAGTTGATTGGCGCGTCTGACTTCAGATTCGAAGGTCGTGGTTTTGACTCCCACTATGTTGTTCGGTCTTCTTCAATTTTTATTTATCGCTTGTCGATTAATTACGCAAGTTTGGCACTAACTGTAGCAGCACTCTCTACGAGTCACGAGATGACAAACAAATGACCACATAGCTAGTGGATTAGCGTGCCTAACTTCCCATCAGATCGTTGTTGGTTCGACTCCCACTTTGATCGTCAGTCTTCTTTCTTCTCAATCACTTATTTTTATTTATCGTTTTTCGATTAATTATGCAAGTTCGCCACAAACTGTAGCAGCACTCTCTACGAGTGACAAGATATCAAACAAATGACTGCATAGTGTAGTGGATTAGCATGTCTGACTTCGGATCAAAAGATTGTGGGTTCAATTCGCACTGTGGTTTTTGTTCTTTTTTCTTTTCAATCAGTTATTTTTATTTATCATTTGTCGATTAATTACGCAAGTTCGCCACTAACTGTAGCAGCACCATCTGCGAGTCACGAGACAACGAACAAATGACCGCATAACATAGTAGATTAGCATGTCTGACTTTGGATCAGAAGGTCGTGGGTTTGACTTCCATTGTGGTCGATGATGTTCCTATTAATTTTGCAAGTTCAGCACAAGCGGTAGAAGAAGCACGATCTGCAAGTCACGAGGTGAAGAACAATTGGCCGCATAGCGCGTCTGACTTCAGATTCAAAGGTTGTGGTTTTGACTCCCACTATGTTCGACCTTCTTCCATTTTTATTCACTTATTTTTATTTATCTTTGTCGATTAAATACGCAAGTTTCCCACTAGTTGTAGCAGCACTTTCTGTGAGTCACGAGATGATAAACCAATTATCGCATAGTGTAGTGGATTAGCGCGTCTGACTTTGTATTAGAAGGTCGTTGGTTCAACTCCCACTGGGGTCGTGCAGCACCATCTACGAGTCATGAGATGACAAAATAATGACCGCATAGCCTTAGTGGATTAACGCGTCTGACTTTGGAGGTTGTGATTTTGACTCCCACTATGGTCGGTCTTCTTCCTTTTTTATTCACTTATTTTTATAATTTTGACTCCCTATGGTCAGTCTTCTTTCTTTTTTATTCAATTATTTTTATTTATCACTTGTCGATTAATTACGAAACTTTGCAACTAACTATAGCACCACTATCTATGAGTCGCAAGACAAAGAACATGCAAATGATCGGATAGCGTAGTGGTTTAGTGTGTCTAACTTTGGATTAGAAGGTTGTAGGTTCGACACCCAATGTGGTTGTGTGGGTCTTCTTTTTTTTCAATCACCTAATTTTATTTATCTAATTACGCAAATTCGCCACTAACTATAGAAGCACCATCTGCGAGTCACAAGATGACGAATAAATGACTGCATAGTGTAGTGGATTAGCGCGTTTGACTTCTGATTAGAAGGTCGTGGGTTCGACTTCAATTGTGGTCGATGATGTTATTAATTTTGCAAGTTCAGCACTAGTGGTAGAAGCACCATTTGCAAGTCACGAGGTGTTAATTTTGCAAGTTCAGCACTAGCGGTAGAAGAATCATCTTCAAGTCACGAGACCGAAATAATCACCGCATAGTGCAGTGGATTAGAAGGTAGTGATTTTGACTCCCACTATGGTCGATCTTTTTCTATTTTTATTCACTTATTTTTATAATTTTGACTCCCACTATGGTCGGTCTTCTTCCTTTTTTATTCACTTATTTTTATAATTTTGACTGCCACTATGGTTAGTCTTCTTCCTTTTATAATTTTGACTCCCACTATGGTCGGTCTTCTTCCTTTTTTTATTCACTTATTTTTATAATTTTGACTCCCACTATGGTCAGTCTTCTTCCTTTTTTATCCCACTATGGTCAGTCTTCTTCCTTTTTTATCCCACTATGGTTAGTCTTCTTCCTTTTTTATTCACTTATTTTTTATAATTTTGACTCCCACTATGGTCAGTCTTCTTCCTTTTTTTATTCAATTAATTTTATTTATCGTTTGTCATTTAATTACTAAACTTTGCAACTAACTGTAGCACCACTATTCGCGAGTCGCGAGACAACAAACAAATGATTGAATAATGCAGTGGATTAGCACGTCCGACTTCGAACTAGAAGGTTGTGGATTCGACTCCCAATGTTGTTGTAGGTCTTCATTCTTTTCAATCACCTAATTTTATTTATCTAATTACGCAAATTCGCCACTAACTGTAGAAGCACTATCTGCGAGTCACAGTGGATTAGTGCGTTTGACTTCAAAATCAGAAGGTCGTGGATTTGACTCCCACTGTGTTCCTCAGTCTTCCTTCTTGTCAATCACTAATGATCGCATAGCGCAGTGTATTAGTGCGTCTGACTTTGGATCAGAAGGTCGTGGGTTTGACTCCCACTGTGTTCGTCAGTCTTCCTTCTTGTCAATCACTAATTTTTATTTATCGTTTGTCAATTAATTAGTGCAGTTGATTAGCGAGTCGTGGGGCCACTGTGGTTATGGGTCTTCTTTCTTTCAATCACCTAATTTTATTTATCGATTGTCGATTAATTATGCAAGTTCACTACTAACTGTAGCAGCATCATATGCGAGTCACGAGATGACAAATAAATGATTGCATAGCGTAGTGGATTAATGCATTTGACTTTAAATTAGAAGGTTGTGGGTTTGACTCCAATCACTTATTTTTATTTATCGTTTGACAATTAATTACGCAAGTTCACCACTAACTGTAGCAGCACCATCTGTCAGTCAAGAGACAATGAACAAATGATTGCATAGCATAGTCGATTAGTGCGTCTGACTTAGGATCGTAAGGTCGTGGGTTTGGCTTCTATTGTGGTCGGTGATGTTCCTATTAATTTTGCAAGTTCAGCACTAGCTATAGAAACACCATCTGTGAGTCACGAGACAATAAACAAATGATTGCATAATGCAGTGGATTATTGCGTCTGACTTTAGATTTAAAGGTTGTTGGTTCAACACCCACTGTATTCATCGGTCTTCTTTCTTTTCAATCACTTATTTTTATTTATCGTTTGTCGATTAATTACGCAAGTTCGCCACTAACTGTAGCAGCACTATCTGCGAGTGACGAGTTGACGCACAAATGATCGCACAGTGCAGTGGTTTAGCACATCAAACTTCGGATCAGAAGGTTGTGGGTTTTACTCTCACTATGGTTGTCGATCTTTTTTTCCAATCACTTATTTCATTTATCGTTTGTCGATTAATTACGCAAGTTCTCCACTACTTGTAGCAGCACCATCTGCGAGTCACGAGATGACAAACAGATGACCACATAGCGTAGTGGATTAGCACATCTGACTTCAGATTAGAAGGTCATGGGTTTGACTCCCATTGTGGTTGTCTGTCTTTTTCCTATTTTATTCCCTTATTTCTATTTATCGTTTGTCGATTAATTACGTAAGTTCGCCACTAACTATAGTAGCACCATCTGCAAGTCACGAGGTGATGAACAACTGACTGCATAGCGTAGTCTATTAGCACATTTGACTTTAGATCAGAAGGTCTTGGGTTTGACTCCTACTATGGTCGTTGGTCTTTTTTCTTTTCAATCACTTATTTTTAATTATCGTTTGACGATTAATTATGCAAGTTCGACTCTAACTGTAGCAGCACTCTCTATGAGTCACGAGATAACAAACAAATGACCGCATAGCGCAGTGTATTAGCGCGTCTGACTTTAGATCAGAAGGTCTTGGGTTTGACTCCCACTTTGGTTGGTTGGTCTTTTTTCTTTTCATTCACTTATTTTTATTTATCGATTAAATACGTAAGTTCGCCACTAGCTGTAGCAGCACTGTCTGCGAGTCACAAGATGATGAACAATGATCAGATCAGAAGGTCGTGGGTTTGACTCCCACTGTTTATTTATCGCGTGTCGATTAATTACACAAGTTTGCCACTAACTGTAGTGGATTAGCGTGTCTGACTTTGGATCAGAAGGTCGTGGGGTTTTTACTCCCACTATCGATCTTCTTTCTTTTCAATCACTGCATAGTGCATTGGATTAGCGAGTCTAACTTTGGATCAGATGGTCGTGGGTTGGACTCCTATTGTGGTCGTCGGTCTTCTTTCTTTTCAATGTTTTATTTTTATTTATCGTTTGTCGATTAATTATGCAAGTTCGCCACAAACTGTAGCAGCACTCTCTACAAGTGACGAGATATCAAACAAATGATCACATAGCACAGTGGATTAGCACATTTGACTTCGGATCAAAAGGTTGTGGTCGTCGGTCTTCTTTCTTTTCAATGTTTCATTTTTATATATCGTTTGTCGATTAATTATGCAAGTTCGCCACAAACTGTAGCAGCACTCTCTACGAGTGACGAGATATCAAACAAATGATCGCATAGCACAGTGGATTAGCACATTTGACTTCGGATCAAAAGGTTGTGGGTTTGAATCACACTGTGGTTTTTGCTTCTTTTTTCTTTTCAATTAGTTATTTTTATTTATCGTTTGTCAATTAATTACGCAATTTCGCCACTAATTGTAGCAGCATCATCTGCGAGTCACGAGACGATGAAAAAACGACCGCATAGCATAGTAGATTAGCGCGTATGACTTCGGATCAGAAGGTCGTTGGTTCGACTTCCATTGTGGTCGATGATGTCCCTATTAATTTTGCAAGTTCAGCACTATCGGTAGAAGCACCATCTGATTGGCACGTCTGACTTCAAATTCGAAGGTCGTGGTTTTGACTCCCACTATGTTCGGTCAGTCGATTAATTACGCAAGTTCAGCACTAACTGTTGCAGCACTCTGTGCGAGTCACGAGATGACAAACAAATGACTACATAGTGAAGTGGATTAGTGTGCCTAACTTCCCATTAGATTGTTGTGGGTTCGACTCACACTTTAGTCGTTGGTCTTTTATCGTTTGTCGATTAAATACGCAAGTTCGCCACTAGCTGTAGCAGCACTGTCTACGAGTCACGAGATGATGTACAAATGACCGCATAGCGCAGTGGATTAGCGCCTCTGACTTCGGATCAGAAGGTTGTGGGTTTGACTCCCACTGTGGTCATCTGTCTTCTTTCTTTTCAATCACTTATTTTTATTTATCGTTTGTCAATTAATTACGCAAGTTCAT